TAGTTGCTGTTGAACTCTCTGCCTTTCGGCAAAGAGGAAGCCAGATTGGGTTATTACGAAAGGCAGAGTCTCGTCAGGGGAGGTAGACAGGCTCGAACACTTTTATGCGGGGTTCACCGGGAATATTTGGCCGAGCCTACGGGCTAGGATTGCTCCACATTAAATTCGGCCTTGTGCCACATCCTATCCTGTGGGGAAGTTGGTAAATATTATTAGCTAGGATCTGTTGAGTACGACTCAGACTTGCGCGAGAACTACCGACCTTCCAATAGTAGCACTCACTACTGGATTGACTTGCGACGACCTTGTGCATAACTGTTACCTTTATTCTTATTGTACTGGTTTGTTACAATAAACTTTTACTAATTTTATCGCCCTTCTTTTTTAAGTATATATTCCTATTAGCACGGAATATAACAGGTGCCTCGTCATATTCCTAACTAGAAATGCCTGGTGGGAAAACCGTTTTAGTTGCCGATTACACAACCATACTGCAGGTAGTACTGGGTTACGTGGCACTCATATCTCTCGTAGAGTGGGCTGAATTTATTGAAGTTGCAGCTAAACTGTCAAAATTTGATCATGGCATTCGATTTTTGAGGCTTTGGATGACGTCAGATACGGTGCAGCCATTGTCGGATTGACTAAGTTGAAACTGATGATACCTTATGATACGGACCATCCACAAGCTAATATGCTGTGTCTGTACACACCCTGGAAGTTAGGGGGTTAGTTGAGTAACAAGAATATATAACTAGTTAAAGTAAATCCTTAGACCTATATATTACCAGCAGTGAAGATGGAATCGTGCAATATGTTGCAACCGTTAAAAATTTAGACAAGGGAAATATCGAAGCAACGGAGAATTTCAAGAAGTGGGTAAATAAGGAAAAGTTTGGATAAAGTAATCTCTGTCCGGAGAAAGCGATACAAAGATGGTGACGATAGAAGGGCTGTGGTGTTGGCTGCCGAATGACAACTTCAAGCGTTAAACAATGACTGTCTGTGGCTGCCCGACAGTTGTAATGTTGTCATTGCCCAAAATAGCCAAGAATAAGAAAGCCGTATTTAAAGAAAATACCGAAGGAACAATAGGTTAGACAGAGAAAAACAAAGAAGAAGTTTATTAAATACTCACACACAGAACGGAAATACTTGAGTCAATCAAATACTACTTAAGTCCTAATGTTGATACGTGCCATATTCATACGCAGTAGCAGTCAATTGTCACAGAAGTAGCGGAGATCAGAAAGTACGTTGAGTCAGACTCTACAACACCAACTGAATAAAAACTCTGTCTGAAAAAGCTTCAACTCTCTAGTAGAGTCGAATATGTTCAGATTATGTGTAAAAAAGTTGGAGAATGTGATCTGTATCTGAGAAAATTTTACTCAAACGGACTACAAGATCACGATGTCTGAATCTCTGCTGGTCTTCAAGCTAACAATATGATTTGATGTAAACGAGGAGTAGCATCATCACATATCGAAGATGATTATTCAGAATGAAGTAGCAAAGTTATTGTGGGCTTACCAAATACAGTTTGACCACAAGAATGAAGATACGAAAGCGGATATTACTGTAGTTTCGTAAAGTCAACAGAAAGTGTCATCTTGTTCATGACCAGGAGATTAGAATCTTGTTAGGAAAGCGGTTGGGAAATTCAGCAAATATACTCTTCTATGCCGAAACGTGGCACATTTGTAAGATATGGACACAACCATAGACCCCGCCATCATTGGCCGTTAGGCATCATCCCCAGAGTTAAATCTAACCCCAAACCCATCCCCAGGAATATGAACAGTCAAACGTAAACTGCCTGAAACTTAGCTCAATGCTTATACTCTGTAAAAATCAGCATTACTAGGAACCTACTACACCCTGCAAAAGTTGCTCTCTGTCTGAGATCAAATCGACTTGATCGTCACCTCATCTGGACTGGTGCTTCTCATATGTAACTAAAGATTCTTGTCAAAATCGAAAAAAGAATGCGTTATGGGACCTTACCCATAATAACATAATGGACTATTCCATACGTAATAAATACTGCGCCTCAAGATGAAGCAGGGAGTTCAGTCTGAAGTCGGATGACCGGCTGATCGGTTGAACTCTCTGCCTTCAGGGTGGAGGAATAACGAACGAGGCTACGCCGAAGGCGGAGTCTCTTTCGGGAGGTACACCGACCCGAACCCGTTTATACGGGTTCAAAGGGCATATTTTGGCCGATCCCACGGGTTCGGAGATCCACGTTAAACCGGCCTTGTGCCACATGATGCCCTCGTGGGGGTGGTGACTAAATACTGTTCAGTCTGAAGTCTGGAGTGAACTTCGTCAGGAGTCAGTCAGTCGAGTCAGAGGCAGTCCGAAACCGAGTCGCGTTCAGACGATTACTACTAAACCTGATTGTTCGTACTAATACTTTCTACTTCTCTGTATATATTCCTGTTTGTAATATATCTGTGTTATCCCATATCCGTGTTCGAGTTCTTCTTTATTAGTTCTACCTTGGACTATCACCGTGGTACAAGGAACCGGACCATAACAGAATGCTATCGGTTCCGACATGGCATCTCAACTTCAATCATTTTCCCACACTTGCTTGTGCCTTTTCAATAAATAATTTCAAGACATTTTTTTCTGATGAGCTCTTATCTTCAGAATTTGGCAAAAGGTGGGCGAATCTTGCGCGTTTGTGTCGAGTGAATGGGGTTGACTTGGAGTGGCACTTTGATGCCGGTTAGGAAACAGGATCCTGTTCTTCCCATGTTGAACATAGGCTAACCCCGGCCGAAATAAGGCTAGTTTTTTTTTTTTTTTTTTTTTTCCTTTACTTTCTTCCTTCCAGTTAACTTAGCTAGGGATGTATGCTCATTGGCTCCTTTTATTTCTGTGTCCAGTTTCTCTTTGGCTTAATTCCCTATCCCCTCTCTCGTTAGGTGGTCAGTGATATCAGTTCTCTGGTGGATGCGTTGCTCTTTTCGTGTCGGCTGTGTTTTTCTCATTTGGTTTTGTGTATGAATCAGTTGTGCAGTGCTTTGGATGTATGAATGTTTTATATTATTATAATCCCATATTGGTTTTGCCCATTATTTAAATTATTCTGACTAATGTCGACATCTTTGTAGGCATATTTATTACAGCGTTTCGGCCGTTGTACGTTCCGGCCTTCTTCGGGTGGTTGGAATGTCGAACTGAACCCTTTATTTCGCTCACTGGGGTAGACTGTTCTAGTTCCATGTGCCATGCTTAATAGATGTCACACTCTTTGGCACAGTGGATAAAGGTGTTGGTTAGATCCAGTGACAGGACCCAAAGAGTGTGAGTTCAATACCCGGTTATGGCAGTGGAGAACTTTCAGAGGTAAATTAACAGGAGGTAACTGCTAACTGACATCAATTAAACATGGCACATGGAACTAGAACAGTGTACCCCAGTGAGCGAAATAAAGAGTCAAGTTCGACATTCCAACGACCTGACGAAGGCTGGAGCGTACAACGGCCGAAACGTTGTAATAAATATGTCGACAAAAATGAGGACATTAGCCCGAATAATGTAAATAATGTACATAATACCCCATGTCAGAAATATAGATTGATTTTGCCCAGTTAACTCATGTTTCTGTCACTTTTAAGGATTGTGGAGGGAGAGGTTATTATAAAGTTTGTTTAGTTTCTTGTAAATACATTTGTATTCATATTGTAAATACACATTGGGACTAGTTTTTAAATTGCTGTTTTATCCCCCCCCCGCACAAACAATGAAGTGTACAAATGGGTTTTAGTTAGGACTTTCATAGAGACAATGTGGTATTATGGTGCATGTAGTAAGAAAGCTAAGTAAGAATGCGTTGTTTTGGTGTAAGGAATATTGTATGTTTGGGTCAGTGTTTGTGGGTAGTTAATTTTAACGTTAAGACAAAAGACCGTCCCATCCCCCATTCCCCATTTTGGCCTTGTGCCACATTTTGTAAATAAATTACAAATAAATAACGCCCTTCTCTTTGGCACTTAGACTGACAGTTAGAACATCGCTTGACTGTTGCTATTTGAAAGCTCTATTCTAATAGATTCTTTTATTGCATTCCTAGCTTCTTGTTTTCCTGTCAAAATAAGAAATTTAAATGTAACGTCAATCGTCATCCATTCTAATCTTGTAACTCGTTCTTTTAAATATGCTTTCTCCTCAGCAATGTTTTATCAGTTTCTTTCACTCTTGTTAACTCCGTGCGTCTTAGTGGCTTTGTTGCCTTGCTTCGTCTGAAATGAATATAAAATAACAAATGTAATATTTTGCGAAGCAATAATAATAATAATAATAATAGGTTCATGGGATATTTAGTTAATTAAAATATATTTCTGTAGTGTATATCTTACACAAATTTTTATTGTATTTTTCTTCCATAATGAAATCTGCAATCCCAGAAAATATTGTGAACGATATTTTTAATAATAATATATATTATAAAGTGAAGCTAGAAGCATATAGATATATCCTAAATATTTACTAATGTCTATTAGTTTGAGTTAAATTTATTACTAAACATTCAGCTTTATGAGTAAACTTGCCATAGTGTATGTAACTGCATCTATCGTTGATAGAGATGATTCTATTGTAGATATTTTGTGAAAGTAATATATAATAAGATGACAAAGAACAGGTTGGTACTGGAGGTGAAAGACGAGAATTAGCCGTGCGCGCATGCGCGAATAAGGATATTTTCCCTCCCCTGAATGAAAATGCAGGTCGAGGGTTAGAAAGTTGCCAAAAGCAGAGATGACACAAAGAAAGGAAGAAATAAAAAAAAAAAGCAAAAGTAAAAGTAAAAACAAGGGAATAAGTTAGATAGTTGGGAATTGTATTGCTATGGCGTTTACTCTGGAAACAAGATTTATTCGGGAGTTAGTAATTTGACAATTGGCAAGCACAATGCGAAGACGCTTCTCGTGAACAAAATAATATCGCTTCTGATCATTTTAGTCCAGTCACGAAATCTGTGCAGTATGTCGTTGACGCGCGTGTCTTTTACAACGATCATATTCTCTTACGGCAAGTCAAAGCCGTGCGAACAAATCTTTTGCATTGTGCGCGTTAGAAATAATTATGTGTCAACTTCATTATTTCTCATAGCCTGTTCATATCTATCATACTCTATTGATAAGCATCTATCTATCTATCTATCTATCTATCTATCTATCTATCTATCTATCATCTATCTATCATACCCTGTTCACATCTATCTATCATATCCTGTTACTGTCTATCATACACTGTTCATATCTATCTATCTATCTATCTATCTATCTATCTATCTATCTATCTATCTATCTAGCCTGTTCATATATATCTACCTATCTATCTATCTATATATATATATATATATATATATATATATATATATATATAGAAATATAGTCTTAAGGTATGCTATATTTATGGAATAAAGTGCTCAATATCAGAGATAGAGCGTGTAAATATATAAAAGTGAACATAGAGGTCAACAATTAGAGGCGACAGTCTTTTTCATGCTATATGCAATCGTCTGGCCACGATTGCATCTAGCATGAAACAGACTGTCGCCCTAAGTGTTGACCTTTTTATGTTCACTTTTATATATATATATATATATATATATATATATATATATTTATAGCCTGTATATATCTACCTATCATAGCCTGTTTATATCTATCATACTCTATTGATAAGTATCTATCTATCTATCTATATATCTATCTATCTATCTATCATATCCTGTTCACATCTATCTATCATATCCTGTTACTGTCTATCATACACTGTTCATATCTATCTATCTATCTATCTATCTATATATATATATATATATATATATATATATAGCCTGTAGATATCTACCTATCATAGTCTGTTCATATCTATCTATCATATCCTGTTCCTATCTATCATACGCTGTTCATATCTATCTATCTATCTATCTATCTATCTATCTATCTATCTAAGCCTGTTCATATTTATCATACTCTATTTATATGTATCATATCCTGTTATTATCATACACTGTCTATCAGATAGATAGATAGATAGATAGATAGATAGATAGATAGATAGATAGATAGATTTGGACAGAGTATGATAGATATGAACAGGCTATGATAAATAAACTTGGTGTATTGATCATTTATATCAAATTTAATATGAGAGATAAGAAAATTTAACATAGAATAGGCTGTGATCGGCGTAGTTCGCACAGCATTAACCATCTCGGTCCAACTCTCTTTCTGCTTTACATAAAAGATCTGCCTAAGAGTATAAGAGTACCTATGAGGATGATACAACAGTGAATGGATGCACCTCCCAAAGTCTAGTTGACTAGATCCTGGCACCTGATCTCTCCTAGCTTCAACAGGTCAGTGTAGATTGAAACTAAATGATAACATTCAATTAATCTAAAACCAAACAGGAGCAGACAGAAATCTTCGCTTATCACGATGAATGGGTTTTGCCTAGGGATGGGGGTGGGGGGAGGTCAGGCCTTGAGCATTTTAACCCAAACTTCAAGTAGAGTTCATACATAGAATCCATAGCTAAGAATTCTGGAAAGATGATCGGTTCCTTGTAAGGCTCCAGTAACTGATCCCTCCTGCTCTCCTCTTCCTTTACAATAGCCAGATTCGGCCGAAAATGGAGTACTGTCGCAATAATTTTTAAGCATTTCATCCCAGCAAGGTGGGGGTGCTACTAGTACGCAAGGGCTACAGAGGGTGAGATTAATCGGAACGGCTGAATACATGGGGGTTGAGGAAAGGATAAAAAGAAGAACGGAGAAGGATAAAAAGAAAAAGGGGGATCAAGGCATCAGAAGATGTCGATTGACATTACATTTAAATTTTTGAAGATTATAGTTATCAGGGAAACAAGTAAGAGGAAGGGAGTTCCACTGTCGGGAAGTGCGAGAGAAGAAGCTGTTAGAGTAGAAGAGGTGGTTACATTTAACTGTTTCGACAGTAAAAGAGTGGGACGGAGACGCCAACCTAACAGCACGCTTTAATTGATGCAGTCGGGGAACAAGTGAAAATAGCTCGTCAGATGCCATGAAAATATTTATAGAAAAGACAGAGGGAAGCCACATTACGTCGGTGAGAAAGTGTTTGGAGTCGAGTCCGCAAGTCAGGACCGATCTCAATGCATATCCGTCTTTGGATTTTGTCGAGAACATCGAGATGAACAGCGGGGGCACCAGACCATATATGACAACAGTATTCCACGAATAGTGTGTGTGTGTATATATATATATATATATATACTAAACTCGACTCTCCCGTCGAATTCGACGTATGACTGCCAAGCAGATCACTTCCTAGGAAACCCACAGCCTGACAACAGCACATGAGATTTGATTATAGTGGTGAAGGTTTCGTTCAGGACCATCCACACTTTTTGAAGGGCCGAATACAGAGACCTGGTGCACTAAGTGCCACAAAGTCCCCAAACAACCCTCCCCGGGTTTTGAATTCAGAGTTGTCCTTCTCCTAGAAGTTGCCATCCAAGGCTATAGAACCCAGCCTGTCCCGCTATTTACCCATAGCTGGAGGGAGAAGAAGAGGATTCATACCTTTCCCAACGGTATTAACACGTAAATGAATGTAATTGATTCGACTAGAATTCGAACTCGGCTCTCCGATTCCTCAACCCAAGTCGCTATCCATTACCCCACCGTTTCTTTCCAGTTTCGATAGACGCTAAAGAGTCTCCGCGTCCTTTAAACTTATATCCCCTTTACCACAGACGAAACAGGGCAAGCCTCTTGCTATGCTATCGATATTCCTCTGGAAAGCGTTCAGACGAATTACATGGCTGGTTTCCGAGAGTTTTTAATATTCACGGCAAAGAACCGGGCATGCTATGTACATTGTGACGAACCATCGTGATTCCCTTCCAATTTCATTGTTAAGATGTAAATTCCACTCGAATAACTTCTTCCCACGGATCGTTATTTTTGGAACCGCCTAACACACACACAAACACATATACACATATATATATTGTGTATTTAGGCAGCAATCCTTCATTTATGCATGTTTCATTAAAAACGACAGGCACGTTACTATGGTTAAGCCTTTTATTTAATTTTTCTTGTGTTCGCTTTCTTTTTTGGACACAGAGTGTGTAGAAATTGCACAAATGTTCTAGAATTCTGAGCGCTTTCGGCTATACTTTTACCCATTATCAAGGATGATTCTATTTTTCAGTTTCATTGAGTGTGTGTGTTATGTTTATACTTTTATTATGTTAGAGAGATGTTTTTATTTTCCGAACACGGTTAGCACATTGTGGCCTTGTTCTTAATTAATATTCTTAAGAATTGGATGTCTTTTTTATTAGGGCTTCCATTATATTTAATCTTTTTTTTACAGGTGGATGAGGTTATTATGTTTATGTTTTCTACTAGTATGTTTCGAATGGAATCTGGTAGGTTTGTGTGTGTGTTTAAATGGATTCTAATAGAGCTCTGGTCTAAGGTAGGCGTCTGGATAGGCATGTAGTTGTGTAACCAATGTAATTATGTATGTGTTCAGTGTGAGCAGCAACATAGGTTCTTTAAGGAGGCATTTGAACTCTTAATGTTCATTCGTTGTAATTGTATAGCATTTGGACAGTTGCTACAGCCTCTGTATCCAATAAGAGAAAGCTCTTTTGCGAACATAAGAAGAATTAAATAAAACGCTTAACCTTAGTACCTTGTCTGTCCTTTTTAATGAAACACACACACACACACACACACACACACACATATATATATATATATATATATATATATATATATATATATATATATATATATTTGTATATATATATATAATGCCTAAAGACCCAGAACCTATCTACCTGAGTCAGAATTAACCTGATGATCCAGTAGGTGAAACCCAGGTAGATAGGTTCTGGCACTTTAGGTATTCTAATTTTGCCCTCCCTAGTTTATTGAGAACTTTTACGTATCAGCTTAGGTAATTCTGTCTTTTTATTTGGCTAAACATAGCAGTGCTGATTGGTTATTTTCAAGCGGTACGGATGGCTTTAGTCTTTTCTTTTTTATTGAATTTTCCCAGCTATCAGTTATTTTTTTTTACATCACCAGGGTTATAGTATAGGTATAAAAATAATATATATATATATATATATATATATATATATATATATATATATTTATACAAATATAGATAACTATACTCGTTTCGAAAAAACCTTCGAATTTTTGATTTGCCAATAATCAAATCAATCTCGAGGGAAAAAAGGGTAAAAAAAGAAAGAGCTAAAAACATGAAAGTCTGTCGAAAAGAATCGCACAGATACAGGTTTGAAGCCCAAAGAAAAAACCCCGATACGAGTAAACAACTAACAAACAAAAGAGCTCAATACAACCGTAGAGCAGACCTAGATACACCTAGTGAGCCAGACAAACCTACCCAGGTTTCACCTAAGCGGATCGTCAGGGAAAGCCGGATTCCGTGACGATCCGTTTAGGTGAAACCTAGGTAGGTTTGTCTGGCTCACTAGGTTTATATATATATATATATATATATATATATATATATATATATATTTAGGAATTATGAGAACGCAGTTTGAAAGAGTTAGTATCTCTCTTTCAACCAAGTTAAACTGCAGTTATCGCATTACTTCTCACCTGCATGCCTTGTCGCTATAGCCTATAGGAATCACTTCTTCCGGCTGTACCAGTACGTCACGTCTGATTACAACGGACGTCTCTGCTCGTAATGAGTGCAAGGTCGTCCTTAAAGAAGCTAAGTTACTGCTTGCCGATAGAATGAAACAAATATTTCATCTTGCAAACCCGGTTCTCGAGATTATTGGCGGCTCTGGATTATTGTGCTGAACAACAGCTAATTCTAAATCCCCCTCTAGTCAATCAATTCGAAGAAGTTCTGACATCTACAGCAGATAAGGTTGAATAGTTTGCTCGGAAATTTCCTTCCAACTCAACACTCGGCTCATTTGGAGTATCTACACTTCATTTCTCTTCCATAATTGAGCTTCTACTGAGTGATATCCATATAACCCGGGTCACGAGTCTCGGGCATCATTTCTAAATTAGACTCCCTTAAGGCTAGCGGAGGTGACGGGATCCCATCCGTCGTCCTAAACAATTGTGCCCCCAAAATGCATCCAGTTCTCTCCAAACTCTGCAACTATTGCCTCTCTGCTTCCTTGCTTGTTGGAAGTCCTCATATGTAGTTACTGTTTTTAAGAACTCTGGGGGACCGACCCCTCTAACTATAGGCCTATTAGTCTCCTACCGTATTTCGGCAAAGTATTCGAGGCTTTAATCAATGCTGAAGTCGTTAAGCATCTTACCTCTCACGCCATACTCTCTATGGCTTCCATTTTACTCGGTCTATATTTCAGACATTTTTATGTTTATACGTTCACAAAATATTTCTATCGCAAATACAAATAAAGCTATAATTAAAAGCCACACAAACTTTATGGACACCCAGTATATATTATCCACAGACAGACGGTTTTGCTGTATCTCAGCTCATCAGTGTCGCGAGACGTCCGGTTGCATCTAGCTAGGATTGAAACCCGACTGAATTAGCGTCAGTCAGGGATTCTATCACTAAACCGTTGGCGCACGGCAGGGACGAAGGTGAATTCAAGCGTATTTATTTTTTAGATAAACACACAGTGACTGAGAGAACTCGATTCGATTTACCGAAGAGTCTTGCATTATTAGCCATTATAGTCACTTTTTACCCCAGAGAGCTCAAGTGAAATAAATATATATATTAGAATATTGTTTAAACATTATTTTAATTGGATACCAATATTTAGCTAGATAGTTTTTTTTTTTTTATTTATTAAACAGCATACTTATTTATTTATTTCCATCTACCGTCCTAAATATCCGGGAAAGCTTGTTAGAAAAATATGTGCACTCCGGTTTGGAACAAGATTTTTCGAATATCCAGGTCAGTAG